TTGTTTCTGTTTGCGTGATGACTTGTGATTGTATGTCGAATGCTGCATAATGGAAGTTATATGACGCAGAGTTTCATTTTTCATTTTCCATATAAGTTTCCGTCATGTTTTTTTATCACTGTCTTTCGCCTCAAGAGAAGCCATGGTTTGATTAGGTGTGCTTTCTGTCACTGATAATTGATTAGGTGTGAGTTCATTACTTAATATTTTGGCCAGTTACAGTCTCAAAGAAAAGAACTATTGTCAAAATAGACAAAATCCTTTATGCCAAAACCAATTTCTACCAAGTTAACATGATATGAGAATGTGTTTTCTTTTCTCAATAAAATACAACATCTCTTTTATGTATTATATCAACTCTTGTCGTATTTTATAATCATCTTATAATAAATTGGCTCTTGAGCAGAAAATCCATTTTTTAATTTATATCATCTATTCCATAACTACAACCCTTATTATTGAGTCAAAACAGAAAACTAATTCAAATGAGTTAGAATCCTCATTCTAGAAAGATTCATATTGAAATATAATATTTTAAAAAATAAAGTAAATAAAAGTCTAACATATCATAATATAACTATTCAATTTTATACATATTATAAAGAAAATAGAAAACAATTCGACCCGCCAAATTATTAGTAGTTTTAAATATTTAATTACAAAATCTTTTGTAAAGCATTCGCTAATAAAGGTTTGGCCCACCTATGATAGCTTCCAAATCCAAGTTAAATTTGGCCAAAGCGACCAACCAGTACTACCAACCACAAGTATGTAAAATGCAGCAATCATAGATTTTGTACCACGTGTCTGTATCTTATTTAGTGGCCAATAAATACTACTAATTAAATACTCCTAACTCCNAAAATACTGTACATTTGATATGTCAACTGACAACACAAGAAGCATAACAAAGTCCAGATACACATTCTTTAGAGCATGTTTGGATACAAAATTTTTCAAAAAAATTCAAACATTTTTAACTCAACCACTTTTTTTAACTCAACTTTAACTCAACTCCACTATCATCAATATTATCAATATAATTAAATAATATCAATCAATCATTCTTACACACCACCTTACCTTAATTCACTATTCATCCACTCACATAATTTTAACTAACCATCACTTCAAATTTTCTTTCACCTACTTTACATCAAATCAACTTTAATCATTTTATTTTAAATATTATTTAATATACCCACTAACAACTAACCATACCAAACTTTTTCAAAATTAACCAAACCAAACAAAAAAATCCAAACAAAACCAAAATTTTTTATATCCAATCATCCTCTTACAAATTACAAAATCAACCAAGGAGTGACGCGAATACCCAAACACACTTCTACAGTTCTATTGAAGGAGACAAAAAACTCCAAACACAAAGACTAAAAAATCAAACATAGTTGAACTCTAAACAACTGAAGAAAAACAAGAAAAAAGACTACAACACTGTAACACACATATGCAAGTAGATCAATTTCTCCCCTACTTCTAGCACCATTGTCGCTAAACGAACCAACACACGAGTCGCTCCCAAATATTGAGGACCACTAATCTATATAGCATCAGATCTAAAAATTCCGGTCCAACGCAAACTGGCTATGTAGATCTAACGAAGAGACAACGCTCAGGCCTAGATCTGAGCCCGCCTAGGCCACTAGTATCGAGATGAACTAATGTCGTCGTTGCGACCAACACCGGAGAACCAAGTCGTCGTCCCGATAGAACACCGTGGAGAATGGGACGAGGTGGAGAATTCTGCCACTCATGGCCAGTGAGGTGTGCCGAGCCACCGTGACGGACGGACAAGGGGAGAGCCTGGTTTGACGTGGAGATTTACAAAGAGTAAGGGTTGTGAGATAGAGAGAGAAAAAAAATAGAGGAGCTCATGGTTCAAGACATTTTTATAAAATTGAGTAAAATTTCCTTTAAATTCAACTCAGCCTTGAACTGATGATATTCATGTTAATTTCTAATTATAAAATATTATCCAGTCAAATCAAGCTCAAGTTTCAGCATTTATAAAAAATAAAATAAACTCGGTACAACGAAGGTATAACTCGACTCGACTCGACCGAGTTTCCAAACTCGATGTGTGCCCACGTAGCAAACAAGGAGGACAAACTTGTCATTCTTTCACCAAAACATCCAATCACATTGCCCCACCTATGAAAGTAGTGGTCTCATTTTGCGGCCGTGAGTGCACCTTAGCATTTCTCAGATCAATTATTTCCGTTGAGAATGCATCTATAAATACCGCTCGAATTTCACTCAAAGTCCGTTGGTACTGCAAAATTCCCACTTTCTCTCTCTACCCTTTCCATAATCGCCCCTCCCTCTTCATCTCTAATAATAGTCATCGCCGTCCCTGAAACCCTAGAAATCCGATCACACCCCTCAGGATCTCCGATTCCAGGTGGAGTTGTGATCCTAGGATTTCCTCGTATTCAACTCCGTTAAAAGAAGCCCTATTTTTTCCCGTCGGTACTTCTCCTGTCTGAATTTACGTTCGAGTACCTCCTGGATCTGACCCGATTCCCTTTCACTTCGTCGTTTAACCCCAAATGGGTAGGGTTTTCAGGGACGCCTCGAAGCCCTCTTCCTCGCCGGAGCCGGTGACGACGTCCACGTCGACGACGGAGACCATCAATGGATCTCACGAGTTCAAGATCACGGGGTATTCATTGTCGAAGGGAATGGGGATCGGGAAATACATGGCGTCTGATACGTTCATTGTCGGCGGGTACACATGGGCGATTTACTTCTATCCGGACGGGAAGAGCGTGGAGGATAATGCGACTTATGTGTCGCTTTTTATTGCGCTCGCGAGTGAGGGAACGGACGTGAGGGCGCTTTTCGAGCTGACTCTTCTGGATCAGAGTGGGAGGGAGAGGCACAAGGTTCACAGTCATTTCGGAAGGGCGTTGGAGAGTGGACCCTACACTCTTAAATACCGAGGCAGCATGTGGTGAGTTTTTTTCTTGGCGATTAACTATGTGCTGGGTTTTTTTTTTTGTTTTTTTAATCTATGGATGCTGATGTAAGTGTGATCTTGTGAATTTCAATGTGTTTACTTTACCAATTAAACTGCATGCCTGTAAGAGACGTTTTGGTATACACATATACCCTTATTGGTTCAGCTTCTGCATGATCTCGTCTTCAATCACCTATTTACATCTTAGTTGAGGAAAGAGAGATGACTATCTCTGCATTTAACAACGGGAAATTGGGAATTTATCACGCCATTTCATCCTGGATATATCCCTGGCAAAGAGTTATAAGTTCATTTAGTTGCTTCTCTCACACATTGAATGTCGTAGTGGTGTAATCTGAAAATTCCCAAGTGACACCATTCTTATTTTTTCTTTTGATCATTGCTCTATGTATATCATATGATGCTAGAACTTATAATTCCGCGAAACTCCAGAATGGATTCTATGCAATGTGACAACAATGTAAATGGGTATCTTTTTGGCTGCAGGGGCTATAAGCGATTTTTCAAAAGAGCTGCTTTGGAGACTTCTGACTATTTGAAGGATGATTGTCTTCATGTTCAATGTTGTGTTGGCGTTGTTAGGTCTCACACAGAAGGACCTAAGATCTACTCTATACCAGTACCCCCATCAGACATTGGCCAACATTTTGGGAAGCTGCTGGAAAGCGGAAAAGGAACTGATGTGAACTTTGAAGTTGATGGAGAGAATTTTTCTGCTCACAAATTAGTGCTTGCAGCTCGTTCACCTGTGTTTAGAGCACAGTTGTATGGGCCAATGAAGGATCAGAACACACAATGTATAAAAGTTGAAGACATGGAAGCACCACTTTTTAAGGTCTTTAGCAGCATTTCTTCATACCCACAACTTCTATTGTTGTTTGTAGTATCCTTCTTTTGTAATCGTCTACAGCATATTTGACCTTTTCAAACTAGTTAACTTGCTACAGTGCTCTCTCTCCCTCTCTCTCTCTCTCTCTGTCTGTGTGTGTGTGTGTGTGTCTGTGTGTGTGTGTTTAGTTCTTAAAAGCATTTGTGGAATGTTGTTCTGGGAACCCTTTTGGGAATGACCTGTGGACAAAGTTCTTGTTCCATGATCTAGTTACATTTTTTTCCTGCTGTTATCTGAACTTCATAGAGTGACCATGTGTGACCTGTGCCTTTTACTTTAACATGTATAGGTCATGCTACTTGTTTTTATTGTCTCTTGACTATATGTTAGTTGTATAATATGTTATGAGTTCTAGATGCAAATTTGGTGATTTGTATGTCCAAGCACATGCATATGTATCTTGGAATTATATATTTATATTCTATGACTAAAGTAGTTGCTTACTACTTGTGTAATAGTACTGTCAGTCATATAATAATGCTAATGACTCTGTATGTTAAAATCTTCATATGTTTTTTTCCTGTTAATTTGATTGGATGTTTGGGCTATTGAAAATGCTTCACTAGTTTTCCCAAGTTTCTACTAATTGATAAATATCAATATCATTCTTGGTAATGGTGTACAAGGCCGGCCTTTTGGTTTCTTGATACTTACTATTTTTATTTTTTTTTTCTCTTTTTTCTCCTTGCTTGCAGGTTTTACTTCATTTTATATACTGGGATACATTACCTGATATGGAAGAGCTTACTGGTATAAACTCAACATGGGCTTCAACCTTGATGTCTCAGCATCTGCTTGCCGCTGCTGATCGATATGGGTTAGATAGGCTCAGATTGCTGTGTGAGTCTACCCTCTGTGAACAAGTTGCCATCAATACTGTAGCAACAACACTAGCGCTTGCAGAACAGCACCACTGTTTCCAGTTGAAAGACATGTGTCTCAAATTTGTGGCGTTGCCTGAAAATCTCAGAGGTATATTTTAGGATATATTTGTTATTAACTCTATACTTCCAGAAAACTTTAATAAAAATGAAATGGAGCTGCTTAGCTTCAGATTTAGTCCGGTGTTTTTGAATAGCAGCCATGGCAGTATGGTGTGGTGGATTTTAGCCCGGCCTCCGTATTATAGCCACCTTGTGGCCCGTTTGCATTGGTAGGCGGAAATGCAGTTTCCATGCCCTAAAGAAAGATAAAAGTAATTGGACTGACCCAATTTTTTCAAAATCAGCTCAGATCTTTAACAGATTTGTATCTAGGCCCATAAAAAAATAATAAAAACCTTCTGCAAGAAAGAGAAAATACAATTTTCCTTTGCAACTGTAGGCACGGCTTGGGGAGGGGTTATTCTTTATTTAATACCATAATAAAAACCACATTGTAAGCGCAGCATTTGCTGCTGCTCAATTTTTATGTATTTGTTTTAATATCTCATTTTTGTACTGTAAATAAAAAAATATTGTCATTGTTTCATTACTTGTTTTATTACTGCTCTTGTAACCACATTGTAAGCGCAGCATTTTTGTTGCTGTTGCATTGTTTCATTACTGCTCTTCTTTAACCTTTTATTTACTTGTTTTAGTTTCCAGCATTTTCTTTTGTAAAATAAACTCTTTCTGGTTCTCCTTTATTTTATGCTCTATACTTGTTTTTATGTATTTATTGACATGTTTCAAGTTTTTACTTATGGTGTTCTACATGTATATATATGTTATGGTGTACAAATCTACATAAAAGTATATATATATTTTAGTCAGCCATGCCTTCGGCCATTATCCTTTGCGCCGTCCACCATATATATATGGTAGTTTTTTGGCTCACCGCCAACACTGATTTAGTCCGATGAGGACTGAGTTGTATTCATGAGTGTACCAAGAACTCATAGCTAAGTTGTTACAAAAGAAGATGAATAGTATGATGGGTTTTACGAATCATTGAAGTTTTATTCTCTAATGCTTATTTAGAACTGGAAATTTTTAAAATGGCAGGAGTGGGAAGATATTAGTGCTTTCATTTGCTAGGCCGAGTTGAACCTTGAAAAGTGAAAGAACATAATGTACAAGCAAAATTCAATATAAGAAGGATGAGATTCTATTGTTATGGGAAAATATCTACCCAACTTACCTTAAACAACCTCATTTACATGTTCATAATGCTTTAAATCTTCAAATGCATGCATTAATTATTTGATCGTTCAAATATTATAATTAGATGTCATAAATGGGTGAAAAATGTGTGCGATTATTTTTCCTAGTGAAGTTGTAACTGGATGTGTTAGTTGACTGGAAAAGTGAGAATGTTTGGATCATGTGAACTAGTAAATCTTTCGGGATGAACTAGTTTGGATATTTAATTTGAAAGTATTATAGTTAAAGCTGTCTTAGAACTCCATCTATTAATCACCGTCTAAATAAGGTTTTTTTTTTTTTATAATGCAGCTGTTATGCAGACGGACGGGTTTGAGTATTTGAAAGAAAGCTGTCCTCATGTTCTGACTGAGTTGTTAGAATATGTTGCAAGGATTACTGAACACTCCATAGCTGTTGGAAAGCCAGGAACTGAAGGTATTTTGGATGGTAGTGATGTCAATGGTAGACGTGTGAAGCAAAGGGTATAGTAGAGTGATTGGCAATGTCCAATATAGCTTTGAAAGAGAATATCTAGATTCATTATTAGGGTTTATTAAAGACATTTTTAAGCATCTAGTTTGATGCAGTTGTGTAAATGTTTTAGTCAAGTCTTTTTTTTCCCCCTTAATCTCTAGGCTGATCCTCTTTCTGGAGCTTGCTAAACATTTGCTTTATGTCGTGTAAATCTGTAATTCGTGTATGGTTTGTACTTTGGATGAAATATGAGAGTCGGGGAGGCATGTAACGAAGATCTGACTCCTACATTTGCAGTTGAAAGAGGGATTTATGAATTGATTTTTCTAGTATGTCATCATGTTAATTGAAGTTGTGATGGTGCAGAAGATTCTTTAATGCATTCTTTAATGTAGTTTCTGGATCGTTCCTTGGCGTAAGCTTATTCAGAAGATATTATAAGCTGCTATTTCTTTTTACATGTTTTCAGAACTTGAAAACGCAAAGGATCTTATTTTGACAAGATGGTTCACCTCAATGGAGATTGGTTGTAATGCCGTAATCAGAAAATTCCAAAACAAAGGCAACTCAAATTCGAGATACAAAGACTCACGCGTCCACAGAAAACTTTTAGAAGAAGAAGAAGAAGAAGATGAAGACGGTGCAGGATAAATTCTCGAACGAACTTTCGGACATGTGATATTGTATAAGTATTGTATATTATGTATTTAATTTCCTAGAATTTAATTTTGTATTCAAGATGTTGTAATAGCTATAGTCAAAAAGAGAAAAATCAAGAAAAAAGTGAAAAAAGAAATAATAATTAAAAAAAAAAATCAAAAACAAAAAAAAAAAAAAAAAACAAAAATAACAAAAAAGAAGAAGAGAAAAATCAGAAAAATCAAAAGAAAAATCATGAATAAAAAGAAAATAACACCATTCTACCCCACCCCCAACCCATCATCTCTTAAAATTTTTTCTATAAATACCACACCATGGAGAACAACTCATAGAACACCAACACACCACACTACTCTCTTTTACTTCTCCCATAAGCTTTCTCTCCTTCCCTCTCCTCTCCTCTCCTTTCCTCTCTTTCCTCTCCAAATGCCGAGAGCATTCAAAACGGTTTAAGCTTCATAGCTTTTCCTTTCTTTTGTGTTCTTCAAATTCCCAAATTCCCAAAACCCTTTCAAATTCCATATGTATTGTTAGTATAGTGTTAGTATTGCATATTCAAAAGATTGGTCAAAGCTTTGAAGGCCTGGAGTAATTATTGTATCAAACACCGATTATCAATACAAGGTTCGTATATGTTCAAGTTCTTGTTCAGTTAAAAGTACAAATAAGAATCACAAACTGTTGAAAAAGCATTTCAGACTTCACTTGACATACTTAGTAAACCAATCAAGCATATCTTGGTGAGATTCCTCGGCAGATTTCACAGCTTTCTCGTCATCCAATTTGTACCTCACTGTCCATCCATGGGAGACACCCGGAAATATTTTCACAAAGCTGGCAACCTGAAAAAGTCAACAATAAAAGTCAACCTCAGATCTTCTTACAAAAATATCGAGTTAGCTTCTGAAATTATGTCCCCACTTTGACGTTTGGGTTTGTTTAATACAGCGCCTCTCAATAACAGTAATAATAATAATAGCAATTATTGTTCTTGTTATTTAGCACTGCATTTGTAATCATAGAATTCAGGCATTGAAATATAAATGCACTTAATTGTCCTAAGGATTTACAGACATACCTCAGGTTTTGATGATAGGATTTCCTCAAACTGTTTAACAAGCTCTGGGGGTGAGAGTTGGTCAATCTCAGCCCCCAAAATAGATAGCGGCGCTTTAACCTCTGTGAAGGCAAAAAACAAAAGAGAAAAGACACCAAAAATGAGTAGAGAAAAGAGATTCTTAGCTGCGACTTACCGCTACATAGTACACATATGCAAAATATCCATTTGTATTATATTAATATTAAAGTTGATGTTATAAGTTCTTATTAAATGTAATAATAACAAGTCAAAAACTCTTATGTTTATTGTAATTATGTCAAGCGTCAAAAGTTTGTACTTCGATTTGTCAGTAAAAAGATATACAGAATATATAAAAAGGGCAAGACGTGTACTGTGAATATGTCATACCCTTGACATCATCCACGGTAACAAATGATGGATGCAATAAAACCCCAGCTTGAATAAGCCCAGATTTGTTCAGTTCCACAACCACCTTTGCTGAAGCAAAAGACAAGATCTGAGTTTTATCAAATAAAAAGAAGAAAGAAAAAAACGGATCCCAAAACACAAACAACACATTAACAGTAAGAACTTACCACCATAGCAAAATCCCGCAGCACCAATTGCAGATATGCCTTTACTCTTCAGAGCTTCGATAACAGGTTTAGCATCCTCAAAGGCTTTAGCCTGATGAGGAGAATATGAACACAAAGTCACAATGCATAAACTATAACCTCGATGTCAAGTCCGATCACAAATTTGTTCATATTTCAGAATTACAAGTATCCCAATAACATTTATTTCCTTCTTGCATATTGCATTTTCAAGAGAAGGAATTTTGACAGGTAATAAAAAAACCTCAAGATGTAGTTTGTAACAATAGAGTGAGATAAAACCAATCACGGCTTGGGAAAAGTTTGATAAAGCAAACAAAAAAATTCAAAATGATTAGTTTCCAATACACAGAAGAGAAGATTAGTTTCTCTTTTTTTTAATAGTGGACTAAAGAGAGAGATACAAACTGGTTCATGCAGTGATTTCCACACTAGGATTGGCCTGTCTTCATTGGTAGGGTCATATGGGTCTCCATAGAAGAAATCAGGAACCACCACATAAAAACCATCAGCAGCAACTTTGTCAGCTAGTTTCCTTTGCGTCAAAATTTGAAAATTGGCCTTAGTTACAAGCTTAAGTAAGATCAACTATAAGCTGACCCATATTGTATTTCATTAATGAATGATTCATGGTGAAAGTAGGATATCATAAATACCTCAAGTTAGGAGCTTCATATCCTGCAAAACAATTAAAACCTTTCAGAAAATTAATATTAAAAAAATCACACACACACACACACACACAATACATATATATTCACATTTGTCAACCTCTTTTCTGTGTTTGAAAAAATTACATTGTGACAGCCATTCAACAGATATGCATACTTTTAATTAAACTGAAATTTCATTCGGTTAGGCCCTCTTATGCAAGAATTTGTCAAATAATTATGCTCCTCCCAACTAAAGAGTTAGGGTCAAAAGTTGGCTCTGGACAATCAAGAAAAAACAACTCTCGATTGTTGGTACAGAAGTCTTAATTGATGTGTTAATTTCGTCAATGGAATTTACAATTCTTCTTTCATACAATAAATAACAAAATAGCCAGCAACAACAATAAGAATTGAGGGAACTTTAACAATCGAAGAAGATTACCGAAAACATCGGCGATGAGGACGACGGCTAGCTTGGAATCCGAAGGGCCCGAAACGTAGGTTTTGAGCCCGCCAAGATCGATAACAGACCCGACTCCACTGCTCGGGCTCAGAGTTGGTGGGTTCTCACAGCACTGGGGGCCCGACATTTTGTGTGTGAAACACAGGATCTGAACGAATAATCACTGACTCTGTGAGTCGTCTGTGTGTATGAGTCTGACCAAAATGAACCACACATGAAAATTTGTAAAGATATTTGCAATTCTGACCCCCTTTTGTTCACTATTTAGAAAAATGTCCCGTTGCTTCATCCTTTTAGATTAGGGCTTTTCAATTTGTACCTTTGAAACAACCATGATGCATCTATTATTAACTTATGAAAATTGTTGATACAACCAATTATATCTGAACTATATTTCTTAAGCGACAAGATTCAAGCTTAATGAGTTCAAATTTTGCTAAGGTTTTCCTTTGACATTTAAGTTGGAGGATTTGGATCATTCGGTTGATGGTCATTTAATCTTTGCCAAAATTTGCGGTTGATTGGATAGCAGTTGTCCGATAGATGTTAATAGAGGAAATTACACCATCCACTACATCTTAACATTTTTATTACATAATTATAACTCATATATATTTATTTGCAAATTAACTAAAACTATCATATTTATTTACAAACATACTAGATTATTGAAATATGGTAAAAGCAGATTTATTGGGATCTATAATTATCACACGCTTTCTCTCTCTTCCTCTTTCTATTCATCTTATTCTTCTCTCTCCCTCTCATCTCCTTCTCCTACGATTTGCCCCAAATTTCAGAACCATTCTTCTTTCTCATCGATCGATTTCGCTCAAAATCTCATAAAACTCTTCGCATAATTAATTGATCAATCATCGTCAGAATTTTAGAGAAAATATTTTCTCAACCCTCTTTGTCAATCCACCATAGCCGCGTGACGTCTTCATCAGATTCTTGTCCGATCAACCATGGGCATAGCAGTGAAACCGCGAGTTCCGACCGCCGTGCAGCAAGGGAGAACCAGGGGTCCCGAACAACAGCAACTCCTTCTCCCTCGGGTGACGTTCGATCAAGTCTGAAGCCAAGAGACGAGCCGTCACCGACGAGCCTCCACCGCCGGGATTTTCGAGAAAGGCAGACATAAATCACTGCACCCATCTCGGGAATTTTGAAAAGCCGAGTTTATAAAATGTTCAGGAATCAATACGACACCAACGAGACGACGTGGTTACCGGCGGGGTGGCTGTTCCAAGTGGAGTACGCGATGGAGGTTGTGAAGACGATGGAAAAAAAACTGGGAAATTGGAGATTGTGGGTGGGGGGCCATTAATTAATCGGGTATATGTTATGTATATTTAAGGTATACGTTCTGTATAATATAAGGGCTACCTTATATGTATGTATATATGGTTTATATTGACAAAACATAAACTGATGATTTTTTATTTTTTTTTTGTATATGTATGATTTATACTCGGTATATTTTCAGTATATGATAAAGAAATTTATCGCGAGACCTAATTTTTATGCATAAAATTTATTTAAAAATAGCATAAACTGAATTTTTTTGTTGGTGTTGTGTATATGTATGTTTTTATATTAAGTAATATGTTATAATATGTTTTTAAACTATATATATACTTTTATGTATAAAAGAAAAAAAGAGGAAGATACAATTTTTGATGGAAGACATTTTTTTCATTACAACATATACTGAATATATACTAACATAAACGCAATATATACCAGCCGCGTGAATTAAGGAATTCCAGTTGCACACATATACTGAATATATACTAACATAAAATCAATATATACCACCCGAGAGCTATGTGAATTAAGGAATTTTAGTTGCGCACATATACTGAATATATACTAACAAATACTCAATATATACCACCTGAGAGCTACGTGAATTAAAGAATTCCAGTTGTGGGAATTAAGGAATTAAATGAGTAAATCACGCCACCAAAGGATAACTGATATGGATAGAGGACATTACAAAAGGTAACTGATATTTAGGCAATCAGGTAAATAAAATAGCTTGATTAGGTATATATCCTATTAATTGATCTAGGAAGGTAAAAGTAAAAATTCTTTTATTTCATGTAGTATGTGTGAAAATTTCCCATGTTAATATTTGAAATGATGGCCACAAAGACAATTTTTTGTGATAATTACTTTGTTAATCATAATTCTCATTATGAAAACCAACAGAAACACATTCCACATATATCATATTAGCTTGTAATCCAACGTCCATCATCTATTTATGCTTTCACGCATGCGGTGGTTATGCATTGACAAAGATTGCAACTAAATAATGAAATGAAAGAATAGCTAAAATCACATCATAAAAAAACACGGTTACAGCTATAAATTGAAACATTCCGAAGAATAAAAGTTCAATATCAACGACACATGACAATCATATTCCATAAATGAAAGAAATCTATTAGTTTTTAAGATTAATTGTTATGTGGATTTGAAATGTAAGGTAAATTCGAAGTTTTGTGAACTAAACTTGTATAAACACGTCAATTTGTACATTTTTTCATCTCCAACAATTTTGACTTAGTAAACGTAGAATGACCTTCGACTTCGTGCAATGTCCAAAATATGTCGTCCACCCCACGCGTAGTCATCTGAAATCTAGACATCCACAAAATTGAACGAAGATTTCCCGATCATTGACCCATGGCGCTATCTTATTTCATGGTAGATCAACTTTTCAAAAAGTGATGGTAGGGTTCTTTTGGTCCTTGCAAAGAGGCATGGTATGAAAATATGTGTTAATGAGGCATTATCTAAAATGGGTGCTTGAAAAGAGGCCAGATCTACAAAGTTATTATCGCATTTTGGTCAAAGGCATAACCCATTAGGGCATCCGCATTTGTTAATTTTTTTCTCATTCATTCAATCAAAAAAGTACACACTCTCTCTTCCACATCATTTTCAAATCACCTTTACACTAAATCTCTCTCCATTTAAACACACACCCACATCCCTACACATTCATTTAAATACATATGTGGGACCAATTTTATTAAAACAAAAAAAAGTCAAGATTAAACAATTAAATTAACACAAAATAATAAAAAAAATAATAATGAATGCCCGTTCAATGGGCTAAATGAATTTGGGGGCCCCGCAAAATAATGAACGCCCACATTGGTTTTGAATGCACACGTGGCATTTAAACAATTGAATGAGGGCATATTAATGGCACAAAAAAATTAGTAATATTAATAATAATAAAAAAAAGAAAATATCAAATTAAAAAATAAAAAATACAACCCATTTCAAGCACTCCTTTCAAGAATGTCATTAAAAATAACTTAGGACTTTGGTAAACGCGTTAAAGATTTAAAGTGTACTAGTGTGTGGCCCGTGCGATGCACGGGAAAAAAAATATTATGATTGTATTATAAATTAAATATATAAATAACATTAATCATGATTTATCCATTATTTTTAAATTAAATCGGGTTGGACACAGTCCGATCGGATGGACCAAGAACCGGTTTATAACCAGTCTAGTTCGCTTGAATAAAATATTTGCTCTCGAATCCATCACCACCAGTCGGTTGGACTGATAGGATCGATACGATTTTTTAAATAAATTTTATTATATTTAAAAATATTTTAAATAAAATTACATATTTAAATAAAATAGAGATTTATAAATTATTTATCAATTAGTTTAAACATTTCAAAAAATTAAGATTAATTGATAGATTATGCAATTTAAAGAATATTTCTAGCGTTCAATTTTTTTTTTAGGCACAAATATAAAGACCGAGATTCAAAAACTTTTGTTATATTTTGAATTGAGATTTTATAAATATAGAGACCGAGATTTAATATTGTTTGTTGTTTCTAAGAAAAAAAATAAAAATAAAAACATACACACTTAATAAATCTTAGCTGGATTTTTTAAATAATAAAATGAACTAAAGCCCGAAACTTAAGGTAGCATTTAATGTTGTATGATTTTTAAAGAAAAAAATAAGAAAAATAATAAAACTTACTATTTATAGGCTGCATTAAATTATTGACCTATTTTTTTGCTACTATTTTTAGTAAATGTTAATTCTTATTATATATATATAGATTAGATAAGTGATAGTATAATTTTATGACTTATTTACTTAACTTATAAGTTTTTTTTTGTTTTTATTAAATAATTTTAATTTGATAGGATGATATTTTTAAAGTTGAAATTTATCTCACAAATTTTTCTATGTACTTTTCATAAAAGCCTGTTGAAGTTTTTTGTTTTAGTATATTAATTAATTAATTTTACCAACCACTTTTAATTTATCAAGTAGTAGTTTTTAAGCCATCGTGATGAGCTATCAACTATAACTCTGAAATTCAATTATAAACTATAGAGTAATGCTATTAACTAACTTTTCAATTAGATTTACCAAAAACATACTAGTCTTATAGTGCGCCATTAATGGATCTAGATTTTTTTTTTTTTGTTAATTCAGCCAAAACGTATATTTTTCAAATTAAGAATGAAACAAAAAAATTTACTCGAAATATTATTCATGCCATCTCATTTTATCTCTAAAATCCTCACACTACAAAAAAAATATCATATTCCACCGGAAAATCCTACGATAATATATTTCAACGAAAATTCCAACGGATATTCCAATGGTATAGCTACGAAAATATTCCGTTGGAATGAATTTTTCATTGCTATTTTAGATGAAATTTAATGATTCCAACAACTATTTTTTCAACGGTTTTTTACCGTAGGAATATCCGTTAGACTATGCAATTTCCGTGGGAATTTTTATTTCCACCTCCGTTGGAAAATCTACCGTTGAATCTTCAAAATCCAACAGAAATTCCAATGGAAAACTCATTCCAACGAAATATTTTTGTTGGAATTTCCGTTGGAATTCCATTCAAATATATTTGTATTGGAACTTTCCGTTGGAATTTGATCATTTTGTTGTAGTGTCACTAAAAGAACCAATCTCATTTCATCAATTTTTTTATGTTTTTATATCATATCAACTTTAATTATGATATTATTTTATCCCATAGTCATTTATGGTCTCAATTTATTTATTGATTTTTTAAAATACTAGATAATATTTTCTTAAAAAAAAATCTTACATCCAATTCCAGCCGTATAGCTCATATCTTTTTCCATCCAGAGAATATATATTTTTGGTTCTGGTTCACAACTTCACATGGCATGCACGCACGAGGATTCTAAGGCACTCGTCAAAAAAGACAAAATTAAAGTCAAAAATTGAAAAGCCAAACCAACTAACTGGCAACCATTGGTTGTCAGGTAAAAAACGTGCAAGTAAAGATTGGTGCCCAACAACCCCATTCGTCACCCAAATTAATTAATTAAACTCGCAATTAAAATCAACTAATTAATGTGCTGGCCTACTTAAATTGACCTTAATCAACAAAATTAGAATTTTCACACGTCATTTTGTTTGAATAATCCAATACCAAACCTCTTTGTCCTATACTCGTATCCCAATATATATACGCACACACATATTGTGCATATATAATCATTCAGCCTAAAAAAAACTTCCAATTGTTGAATAAATTTGAGAAAGAAGAATATTGGTTATATATAATGCCTTCATTTAACATTTTGAGCTGCTTTTCCGAGCAACCGGAGAAAAGGCGGTACGTTTGTGAAGGAGCTGTTTGTTATCTTCGTGATGCAAAGGCGGCATCTCAAGAAGTTTCCGGTTCGAAGAAAAATGACAAGACGAGCAATATCAATCGGTTTTCCAACATTAAAGGCTGCAAACGACGGAACAAGTAGAACAATCTTAATTCCGTTTATTTTGTTTGTATCTATGTACTGAAATCATTAGAGGCATAGTCTATGTTCATCTGATAATATTATATATGGTTGTCCCTTCACATCCCAAGATCTTTGATCCAATGTTTGATTTGAGAATTCTTGGCTAGTTTGTGCATATGTTGTTTAATTTGGTAATTAGACAGGAAAAAAAATTTAATCCAACACAAAATCGGCCCGTTGATCACAGGTCATGGACCGGCCCGTGGTTTTGACGGTCTAGTTATCATATTCAATACTTTATAATTTTGAACTGGCGGTTTCGAATTGAAACCGGTTTTAGCCATGACTAGAACCAAATTATATGTTAACATATTTCGATTTGACTTGTGAAAACTCAGTCTCAATTTGCTTATGTATTTAAACAAGTCAAACTCAAATAGCTAATCGAATTTGTCGTTCAAACGATTATAGAGTCGAACATGTTTGCAATAAACTAATCTATTAGAGTTTTTTCTTTGTCTAAAAAATGAGGCTAAATTAATTATTGGAATCAAAATCAACAATCTTAAACAAACAACATAAACAAGCCTCTCATTGCAGAAATAATCAAAATCAATCAAATGCCTTCCTAACAAGACTAATAATTACTAAACCTTAACTTGACCACCATGGTCTTGCTATTTAATTAAGTACCTCGTTAATGCAAAATCAATCAAATTAATGACTTCCTAACAAGACTAATAATTATTAAACCTTAACTTGACCACCATGGTCTTGCTATTTAATTAAGTACCTCGTTAATGCATGACGATCACATATTGTACTTTAGCAATAAAATTGGATGGCCCGAATTTTTTAGCACCAACCATATACATATTTTTCATTTTTCTTTTATTCAATTAAAAGAACAAAAAAAAAAGAAAAAAAAAAGGAAACACAGGGTTGGTTGTTGAATGATGTTGTGTTTAGACTTTAATGACCCCAGTAGAGTTAGACTTTGTCCAACTTAATTTAAAAAACCGTCCAAATTAGATACAAATTTATTAAACAAATAGTTTTATTCTTAAAAAATTCTTTCAATTTTTTTGAATAATTTTTTCATTTGCAAATTTTATTTTAAATCAACATTGAGATTTGGACAAGATATACATTCAAAATCATATCCATAATTTTTTTATAACAAAATCGGTTCATCATTGATATTTAAAGTCACACCTTATCAAATTATTTAGAAAAAAAATTCAAATCAAATTCAAAATCGTGGGCAACTTTTACAAGGGAAAACCATGGGCAAATTTTCAAAATTTGAATGCACCGATTTTTTTGGATTCTTAAGTTTTTTCTTAACTATATTTTAACGCGATTTTGGTAAGTTCATATCAATTTTTTTTAGAAAAGAAACAGCTACATAAATGTTAAATTATTTTGATTTTTTATTAGAACTAATTTTAATTCAAGTTGTTTAGTAAAAAAATCAGTGCAATGTTAGAAAATCTCGGTTTCATTTTTAGGAAAAATTGAAGATTCTTTTTACTTTGTTTTAACCAAACATTCGGATCATTTTATTTGGTAAAAAAGTCGGTGTATTGGTAGGAAAATTGGTTTCATTTTTAGGAAAAACTAATGATTCTTTTCAAATTTTCTTTATCAAAAATTTTGAACTAGATTTAGAAAATAAATAAAATGGCGTAAAAATCCCTAAAAAATTATTCTTTTTTCTACTGGAATTTTGTATAATAGTTAAGAGCCCTTAATTTTTTTAAAATCTACTTTGTTAACTAATAATACGCAATTTTAGATAAAATTATTGAACACTCATGTAACACTTTACGTGCCAAAAAATCAAACCAAGAATATTATACATAAGAAAGTGTTCAAAGACATATAAATATTATTTTCATGATATTTTTAATGCCATGAGACAATTTAACTACAAAAATATCTTTTAAAAAGAAATTAGCTAGGTAATAAATGCTTTCGTGCATCGCACGGGTACCGTACAGTATACATTAAAAGGAAAATGTTATATATCATCAGGACAACACCATTCTACTCACAACAACCTTTCAAGAACTCATCAATCGCAGAGTCCCATTCAACATCATCTATATCACCCATCAAGCCCAACTCCGGGCCCAACGTCTCACGGATCAGCTCGTCTATCACCTCAGGCCCAGATGCCGGCCCACAGTTCACCCCACAATGATCAACCGGAGGAGAATCAAAAGTTGTGGGACCCATAATACATTCGCTCCCAACACCAATATAACTAGGTAGCCAGGAATATATCTGAGGAGCAAATCTCATGGGAATATCCGAAAAATTGTCCGGAAAAGAAAAGCTCGGCTGAAAGGCTGACGTCACCTCATAACCAAAGCCCGGAAAAAGTCCTGATTGATGATTATCCAACGAAGGAATCATATTTCCATAATCCAAGACTCTTGTGGAGGCAGGCACGGTTATGTTGTCGTGCATGATTTGATCCGTTGCATGGGAATCATTAGAAGTCTCGTCGATTACTTTTCGGTTGCGCCCTTCTTCCTTCACGATTTTCTTGTATATTACGCACAAGACCCAATTGTCTAGCTGCAATATGCAAAAGTTACGAGGTTTAAGTATCAGCGTAAAAAATTATTAGTCGGTTGATTTCGATTGATTACAAGTACAAACGTGGTTGATAACTTGATATATAGTGTATTTACTAATGCAAAAAATTCAACATATATTAATATATATAATTATATATACCTTCGTGTTGCTTTCTTGTGTTTGAACAACGGGTGCACGGTTATCTTTGGTGAGGAGGAATTCAGTCATTAGCCAATCGGTCTTGGTACTTTTCCCGGGTTTTCCCCTGAAATAACCTAACGACTTTTTGAAGCCGATTTCCTTATCTCTGAGTATGATGGACTTGTCAGCACCAGAGGCCCTCCAATATCCATCCCCGGCCACTCTATTGGGCCTTGAACCATTTTTGTATTTTGTTTCCCTTTTACTGAAAAAATGCCATTTGTTCTTCCCGCTAGGTTTGTACATCTCTGTATGAATTATTCACAAAAACAAAAACTTGTCATGATTTAATTAGTACAGAAAAAAAAATAATAATAATAAATAAATTGCCATCATCAGTTATTTGAAACTCGAAACACAGCAAATCAATTTTATCTGTATTTTACTAATAGAGATCACGTAAGTATGGGTTTTAATTAGAAATAGCGCATACTGGGAATAAAAAGAAAAAGATCTAGTTAAAAAAAATAAACCCCTTCATAGATGAATAACGTGGGAAAGATAAACCCTATTATCCCTAAAAATAGTACTAGTAATAATTAATAATAACCATAGAATACGTAAAAATAAAAAAGGAAAATAATAGTGCATGCTTATCCACGGAAATAAGAAGTTGAACGGTTTCCAATAAAAAGTAAACACGACGAAGCAAATAGACAACAATTAAGTTACATACAATCAATTAAATTTCCAAGAAAATAGAAAGAATTGTGCATAGATAAATAACGAGAGAAAGAAAAAATATGATTATTACCTGCAAGAGTATCAGGGCCGAATTTGTAAAATTCGACAACACGAATCTTGTTTCGAGGTAGCCTCTCGTTATTGTTCTTCAAAGACAAGTAGTGGATAAGCTCATCGTCTCTAGGGCAAAACTGGAAACCAGGTGGCACGGACTCAAAGAACTCATCATCATCCATGGCGTAATCCATTATCAAGCTCTTTACAAAGTAGTGAGGGCAAGATTTTATATATAGGACGATGGATCCAGCTGAAAGGGTTTCTAAGTAGGGTTGTTAATTTTTTTTTTTTTTTCTTGTGTGTTGCTCAAGTTTTGTTTGAGCTGAAAGGGTTGCTAAATAGGGTGTAACTTTGAGACCTAGCATAAGCAAACATGACCTAAAAATTTTCGAAATAGCAAATTAGTACCCTCTAATTTCGGAGTCCCACCGACATGACTAGTAATTTAAATTAGTTTATTGATCATGCAACGGACAATAGTATTGAGAATAAATATATTATACATATGTAAAAAAAAATGTCACTATTAATTATTTGATGGAAATTATAGCATAAAGAATTTTGAATTTTTATATTGTTCACGTTTATTATAATATCATTGGTAAATTTTTAAAGCTTTGGCTTGGAATGGTCCATATTAAATTATATTATATTACATGTATTATATAAGTTTATTGTTTTTTTTTTTAATCAAATGATAACTTAAACATTAATAAAACTCAAATAATAGTATAATCGAATGACCAAATGATCACAAAGAGAAAACCAATCCCATAACAACAAAATGAAGTTGGATCTCCCCTGGGGAGAGTAGATAAGTTTTTGTGAGCTGGAAATTTTAAGGAGATATAGTTATCCGAGTGGTTGTCTAGCATTGTTATGGTGAGAAAGACCAAGACCTATTAACCTTCAACAAGCACTAGTGGAAAAAATACTTTTCACATCGGTTAAAACCCCATTTTGAAACCGATGTTGAAACATGTGATGTTAAAAGTCTGTCTTATTTACATCGATTTTGAATCGATGTGAAAAAAAACTTGTTCACATCGGTTGTCACAACAACCGATGTCATAAGACAAAAAATAGGCCTAAAAAATATGAAAAATCGATTTTATTAAAACCTTTTTTACATCGGTTCATTTGAAAACCGATGTAAATCAAGACATTTAACATCGATTATTATAAAAACCGATGTAAGTAAGGTTTATATACATCGGTTATCGGTAAAACCGATGTAAATAAAGACATTTAACATCGGTTTTCATAATAACCGATGTCATATTACTCGAATTCACATCGATTTTCAAAATAACCGATGTGAACAATGGTTACAGTGACATCAATAATTATGAAAACCGATGTGAAATCAAACATTTTACAACGGTTTTATTTAATTGTATCTGTTACTATAAAATAATAACATTCATACATTCAAAATATTCTCACAAATCAACAGACAAGTACTAATAACAACCAAAATATTTCAATAACCTCAAGTTATAACAATAGTTTACATATGCACTACACCAACAATAGTCATCAACCACAATTTGTCATAAAGTTCAAATTCTATAAAACGTAAGCAAACTGATAAGTCTAATTTCCTCATGAAGTAACCTCAAGAAAGTACTTCGTCCACCGCATTTTTATATTCTCAATGTCCTCGTCCGAATATGGCTCATCAATGCTCAAAGCCTACATGATACAAACAAATATTATCACTATAACTTATATTGAATTGAAGTGTGTGATTTTAAAATACAACATAAAATTGATTTTAATAAAACCATACCTCTTCTAACGAGTGGATAATATCAAGTGACATAATCTCGAGCATAGGGAATTGCTGCAAGTTAGTTGCTTTTGGACAACCAGCTAATAAGACAAGAAACTGAACAGAACTTCCATATAGAATTAATTATTTTTCAATATTGCAGTAGCATTCTATTATTAGTTTACCTCTAGAACAGGATTTGGTGTGACATTCGGTTGCAAGGCTTCCTCTCTGCCAGGTGGAGCAAGATCAAGCATTTGGACCAACTTATCAGCAACCTCTTGTTGTTGTTCGGTTGGCTGCATTGTCGAAGGCAAATTGCTAAGAGATGGAAACTGAAACTCCCTCATCCTCCGCAAAAGGAAGTACTTTGAAATAGAATGAATCCAGCTGCAAATTTAAGGGTAGAAAAAATAAGCAGAAACAAATCAATAACTCGCACACTAAAAGGCAGTATAAACTTGCAAATTATGTTCCAATTACTCACAACATTATCTTTCTCAGATATATTATGAGTTAGAAACCCTATGACAATATTCATCTGCCCTCGTCTCCAAACACAACGTACAATAGCTACTTTATTCATTTCCTTTATTGCTCTTGCTAATACTTAAACCTCATGAATTGCCTTTATTTTTCAGGTTCAACAATGAAGATGTTGACACTTTTATGTAATAGTGCCTTAAACCACAAGATGGATGGCCACAAATTATCAATATTCTGACAAGAATTAACTAAATAACAAATCTTAATATTTCTTTGAAAAAGCACTAAGAATATTTTTTCACCTCATGACATTTGAAGCCTCCATAAAACTTAGAAGTTTCAAACCATTCTCTGGTTTGAACTTGACAACATCCAACTCAGCAGATGATATAGGGATTACCTAAGGACCATATCAGTACCCTCTGATCCATTGTTCGGGTGGTGTAACTCTACCAGGATCGTCAACGTATTTGTATTCATAATCAACCTTAATTTCATCCAAAATATATCATCCACTGTCAGGGAGATAAAACTATTTAAAAGTTAACTTTCTTGGAGCCTCACCTTGATCTTCATGTTAGGGCTCAGTTCGAAATCCCCTCTGTACACACAGTTACAGGTGATAGATTACGAGTCCGAAGATCAACTAAAAGTGAAATTTCTATCAAATGTATCACATAATTTTCTTGGGGAAGAGACTAGGTGCAATCTTAAGCAAGTATATGAACTTCTCACAAGAACTTCATCTACAAATAGACTTCCAACAGACAGCATGCTAACGATCCCAAAAAAATAACAGCTTCTTTCTTCACAAGTTTCAACAATTTTTTATTTTCCACTCCACTATAAAATTCTGAGAAAAAACAAGAGCGAGCTAATCCTTTTGTTCACAAAACAATTATACAAAACATATTCAACAGAACACATATAACAAAACACATACATATTAGTACTACCATCAAAATCTCAAACTTAATATTGACCAAAATCTCATAAATAATCACTCAATTAACTAGAAAAAATATATCCTTTTCTTTTTAAACCAATGAAAAATATAATGTGATACAACACAAACGAAATCACAATCGGTTTTCACAATAAGTCAAGATAATCAATGAATAAGACCTATTGATCTTCAATAGGTCGACCTAGTTGATGATGAACCATAGTGGCCAAGGCCATCGTGGGTCGGGGAGGGGCCACCGTCGGCGAGCTCTACTACCACATGGCCAAGGCCAGCGGCGGGACCCTCGGCTGCCCCACCGGCATCTGCACCACCATCGGAGTGGCCGGAAACTTCCTCGACGACGGCTACGGGATGATGATGCGCATGTACGGCCTGGCGACTGTTTATTGTGTTTTTGTATTTATTTTCGTGTGTTTTATGTGTTTTAGTTGAGTGTTTTTAGGTCTGTTTTAGTGTCGACGGTCCATTTTATCGTATTTCGTGCACTTTTGCTTTCATATTGTGTTTTTGTGGTTCGACGTACTTTTCTTGTCTTTTTGGTGTTGTTTAAGTCCACAATATTCGAGTTCAAGAAGATGAGCCATTTCCGAGACATTTTCGAGCCGTCCGAACCATGTCCGAGCCACGTGAACCATTTTCGAGCATATTTATTAATTGCAGGGTGACATTTATTTGTGCATCTCGAGACTAGGAGAAAAAGATTTGAGGAGCTTGGGTCGAAGTTTCAAGTAAATCGGATAAGCGTGCGAGAAATTAGAGCGAACCGAGTCTCAAGGGGTCACCGGGACCAAGCCATGGCAGTCTAAGTGCCCGCGAGCCCAATCCCCGCGTGCCCCGCACGTCGCCCGCGAGTTTTTCCACCTCGCGCCCGCGAAGCTGCTGCTACCCGCGAGTGCCGCGTCGCCCGCGAAAACACTGCCAGGCCGCGAGTCCGTTGTTCCCGCGTGCCCCGCGCGTGCGAATTTCATGGAGGCGTCAGGAGTTCCGTTCACAGCGCGCCCCGTGCGCACGGATTCTATGGCGACGTCGCGAGTACCGCAGCACCAGATGCTCGCGCCCGCGGAATTCCCAACGACGTCAATAGTGCCACATTCCCTCGTGCTACGCCCGTGCTTCCTCGCGCCGCACCAACGTCAAGCTCGTCACGGCCGATGGCAATCTCCTCTTCCACAGTCGATGGACGAGCAACTCTTCTGGGCCGTCCGTGGTGATGACGATCTACAACTCGATGTTCCTCGTGAATAAGACCGACGAGGTCCGGCTGATGAGGAATAAATTCCACGAGCTGGGGTTAAGGGACGAGGACTTCTTGGAGAAGAGCTGGATCGCGTCCGTGATGTTAATCGGTGGATACAATTTGAGCGTGACGCCCGATTACGTACTCTAGAGGATTCCCGCGTGGAAGCTCAGTTTCAAGGGGAAGTCGGATATGGTGAAAACCGCCATCCCGAGAGCAGTGCTGAGGAAGCTGTGTGAAGCCGTGAAGCAGCAAAGCATGTCGCTGGTGATTCTGACGCCTTACGGAGGAAAAATGGCGGAGATTCCCAAGGACGCAACTCTTTTTCTGCACTGCGGCAACACGTTGTTCATGGCGTACTACGTGTGGCAGTGGCCAACGGAAGGCAAGAGGCCCCAGAAGCAGGCCCAGAACGAAAACTGGGTGAGGGGGATTTATGAGACGAGTGTGTCGAGTTATCCGAGATGGGCGTACGTGAACTATAGGGATCTCGATCCACGCGGTTCGATTTTCCGGTGACTCCTATTGTTATTTGAAGATATTATGGTTTTATTTTTCGTAATTGGAAGACATAGAAGAAAAAAAAAACCACTTTAAGATAAATGGTAAATTAACTTTAAAGTGAATAGTAAATCCATTCTAAAGTTGAAATGTGTCGTAGTTGGGTTAATATAAATTAACATTGAGTTTAAGTAGCTAAAAAATTTTTGATTAGGAAATATTTGGTCTTTGATGAATGTTTGGGAAAGTCAAACAAGCTAAGATCATGCACAAGGCATGCTAGAATTATACTAGGATTCTTTGAGGACGAATAAGAAAAAACCAGACACCATTTGAAGGTATGAAAGAGCGATTATGGGCTTGTGGCGCACTGACACGTGCATGGTCCCGTCGCGAGCACGATGGCTGGGCATGCTCACCAGTTGGGTATGACGGCTCGTCAGGGGCGTGATGGTTGCTCTTGTCGAAGAAGCTTTATCTCAATTTTGGGCGCCTGGTCATGTCTCAAAAGGTGTCTTTTGACACAATGAACCCTCTAGAGATGTCTAAGAGCATTTACAAATAGTAATCATGAATGTGAAATCAATCATTTGAATTTCAGATTTAAGATTTTTTTTTTTACATTTTTTACAAAATTTAAAATTAAATCATGTTGTGCTCATGGTGTTCATTTCTATTTTGAGAATTCCAAAGCTTGAGTATTGTTCGCTGAAGTCTTGTGTGTTTAAATTACTTTTATATACAAGTCGAAAGTCGTAGTATATAGATACGTTAGCCGTAGACCATGAATAATATACTAGACTATTTCGTCTTAGCAAAAGCATATATATATTTACGTGCCTCGACTTTGATTCTTTCATTCGATTTTTCTTGTGTGATATTGAACCACTTTATAAATGATTGGAGTTGTGAAAGACGAGTGAGTACAGGCTTGTAGCGAACGGGCGCGCGCATGGCCCTGTCGCGGGCACGATGGTTGGAGTTGGGCATGACGGCTTGTCACGGGTGTACCGAGTGCTCCTGTCGAAAGGTTTTAACTCAATTTTAGACGATTGGGCTCTTTTGACACAATGAACCTTTCCAAGTTGTCCAAGAGCATCTATAAATAGTACACATGAACATGAAATCATTCAAAAATCATATTTAGAGCTCTTTTGAATTATTTACAAAATTTATAAAGCATATTGTGTTCTTGATGTTCGTTTTTATCTTGAGAGTTACGAAACTTGAGTATTATTTATTGAAGTCTTGTGTATTTGAATTACTTTTATACACAAGTCAAAAATTGTTGTATATTAATATTGGAGGCTTTAGCTGTGAACCATAAATAGCATACGAGACTAATCCGTCTTAGAAAGAGCGTATATTTAAGTGCCTCGACTTTGATTCTTTTATTCGATTTTCCTTGTGTGATATTATTGAGCCATTTCATTGACACTTTATCTCAAACACCAGAAACAACATGAACATGGAAACAAAGTGAAATGCATGGAAATTAACCAAGATTAGAAGAACTAACACACCAACCAATCCATTACACACATATCATGAGACAAAAGATGAAGTCAAAAGCTGGATCTCCAAGTCCTGTTGTAGCCTCTCCATGTCTTGCTTAGCCATCACAACCCAAGCCTCAATCCCACCCGTCCACTGCAACGAGTCGATTAGCAAGATGGTATCCTTACCTAAATACCCTGCGCTGCTCACCCAAACAGGCCTTCCCCACCCAAAGTCTGCCTCGTAGAATCCGAACCTGCTGTAGCTGCTGAACCTGAATATCTCCACATCTCCAAGCAACAAAAGCTTGCTAATCTCCATGAAGTTCTCTTTCGCCAGCTCGAACCCCCTTTCTTCTTGCAGCTTCCTCACGTACTTGCTGTCGATTTTCTTGAATGCAGCTCTCACCTTCACGGGCCGGCAAGGATGCAAAATTTTTAGTTTTCGAGGCAAAATTGAGAAATTACACGATTCTTAAAAGGACAATTTCTCTAATTTTATTGAAGAAAAAAAAAATATGTTTTCAAATCATACGATTCATGGAGGATGATGAAAAGAGGACATTATCTAAAAACATAACTCTTTTAAGAACGGTTTTTAAACCAAATATTAGTTACAAAATCTAATTCTCCAAGGACTAAAAGGTTTTTAAACTAAGAGTTTTCAAACTGAATTGAGTGATTTTAAGTGGATTGAGTCCTCTAATGTGACAGTAAGAAAAAAAGGCTCGATCCACTCTTAAATCTATTTTAGACCCAAGTCTGTTTTTATACATTGAAATGAATTTGGTTACTTTTATTTAGTTTTATTCATGTCATCCAAAACTTTGGGCTATTTATATGCCAAATAAGTAAAATCAGACCTAAAAATATTGTAGAAGATGCTCTAACTAATTCCAACAACACTTTGGCTCACCTTCTCCACCAACCGAACCCAATCGGTCTCCCCCTCGTTCTCCGCGCGCGTCATTTGAAAAATGTTGCCGAACGAATTCTCCGTGAGCTCCGGAATCCGTCCCCTCAGATTTATCGGATGATAGGCCACCGACCTAACCGGTTTCCCGCCAATTATCCGTTTTGCCGCCAAGCAGCGGCTCCAGAGAAAGGCGGTCAACACCTCCACTCGAGTCGGTTTTTCATTCGCCGATGAGCCCTCCGTGGCCAAAAGCTTTAGCGCGTTTATAGCTTTTGGAGTGAAAACGAACCTTCTCATGACGGGCTTTGCGGACCGCATGGGCTGGACGGCTGGGCTTCTGAAGTTGGGCCTGAAATCGGGAGTGTTGCGTGGAGGGAAGAGGGTGGCGGAGTTGAAGACAGGGGAGATCGGGTGGCCACGGGCCTCGGATGAGGCTAAGGCGACCCAACATTTGATGAACGAGTCGAGCGTGCATATGTCGGCTATACGGTGCGAGAGACATATCCCGATGGCGAGGCCCCCGCACGTAAATAATGTCACCTGTAAAGTTGATGTGGTATAATAATAATAATAAAATTAAAAATATTGATGGATAGTGATTAATAATTAAAAATATATGAACAGATGAATACTGTCTTTTATTGAAAAATATATAATAGTGATTATTTTTTATTTTTTTATTTATGTGAGTGGATATTTTTATTTTCTATTTTATAAATAGGGTCAATGAGATTATAGAGAAAAAAGTGAATATATTTGTTTGTGAATTTTGTTTATTTCATTTCCATTGTATAAAATCTAGACAGATAGCTAGACTCGCCAAACAAAAATAAAAATATATATTAGATATCTTTTATTACCAGTTACAAGCTCATGTCATGATGTAAATTTTTTAATAAGTTGGTCCCTTAGATTAATTAATCTTTCAAAATTCAAATGAAGCCTTACTCAGTTACTTGTGTTAACGAATTGAGCTTGGATGATTTTGCCAAAGTCATATATGTAGTTAGATTCCAGCTGACTAAAATAACAAAAAGATTCCAGCAGACATCATTTAATTAGGTTTGGTAAAAGTAATAAAAAAAAAAAAAAATTAAGGCAGAAAACTACTCATTACCTGAACTGCCAACTGTTCTTCGGCACCGGAAACACAGCCGTTGGATTCGAAAGGCACGAGCCTGTCTAAATCACGTGAGTCCATGGATTTAACGATGTCCGAGATGTTCTTCCCCTCGGCTTTAGCTTCGATGTACAAAATCCCATCGTCATTGCATTTGACCGAGGCCTGGCCGTGCATCCTCCCGGCCAAGGGATAAAAACGGACTAAAGCTTCAGACAACGAATTTTTCAACCGACGACACATTTCGGATTGTTTAATGTCTTTGTCGACTCCGAACTTGTAATAGAGTATCAGAGGCATGTAAGAAGTTGGTATCCTCTCATCTATGAAGGAGAGTTTGAAGTCTCTGAGGTGAGTTGGGGTTGGAATAGAAGGTTTGATCAGCTCTTTAGAAAGGACTTCAATCTTCATATTTGACATTTAGAGAGTTGGACTAGCAAAAGCACAGATTGATCAAGAGATACATATGAAAAGGATGAAATGAATGTTTAGGCGGCTCTGTTATTGAATTATATTTAATCTTCGATTTTTGTTGTAATTAATTAATATTGATGCCTACCTAGGCTAGCTCCCATCTGTATCAGTGACTTTTGATTAATATTTAACAAATAGTAGATTTTGGTTTAAGTGGAGTATATACAACAAATGTTAACAGGGCTAAGCAGAAGGGGTTAGTGTAGCAGTTGCATGAAATGACTAAAAATATACTTGACTTTGTCATGGCTCATGAGAATGGAAAGCAGCTCTCTAGTTGTTTTTATCTTAGCAAAGAGAATCTAATCTTATTAAATTTATGTACTTTGTATGCATATGAAATGTTTAGCAAGTAAATTACTTAGTTCCATAGAGTAAAAACTTATTTTTCGAAGTAATCAAAGTATTACCTAAACATATAATAATAATAGAGTCAATTATATGGCTTATATTGATTAAATTTAATAATCACAATTAAGGGAGCCTTTTCACCCCCTACGTTGCAAGAAAAGACCCCTCCATGCTACATCCTTACCAATACATAATAAATGTACATAAAAGTGTACATAACACTCACATGGAGTGGGGTCTACTTGATTTTTTATTTAAAAAATGTTACAAGTACATAATAAATATACACAGAGATGTACATAACACTCACGTGGAGTGGGGTCTACTTATTTTTTTAGTTTTTAGTAGGACCCACTCAATGTGAGTGTTGTGTACATTATTATCTACCTATAGCATTACTCTTTTTATTTTTGATAGGTTAGTGTTATGTATATCCCTATACAATATTATGTGACTATAGTATTCTCCCTCACCTATTGATATGGTACCAAATCCCGACCTAACGGGCTTGGACCGGAATACCACCAACCGGTTGGACCGGACTATATAAAAGAAAACCGTATTGGACCGTTTGCAGCAAAAGGTTTGTAAGGACGCTATTGTGCTTTGTGCGACTCATTCTCAGCGATGGCCATGAGGCCTCTGACTATGAGAGCAGGATTGTGCCCACTCCTTCGATCTCGAGTAATCCAGTTCCTCGTTCGATCTTCTCGGGTAGGTTCCCTGTATGCTCGCGCAATCATATCCCTCACTCGCTTTTCTCGTGTTCATTTCATTGTACTACAGACGTTCACATTTCCGAGGTTTCGGATTGATTCTCTATGAAGGTCCTCCAAGTCTCGCCCATGGTCAAGTACTCGGCATTAACACTGTTTGCGGACCGCTTTTACCCTGCTCTTTCCAGGTAAACCATTTGCCGACAATCTGATTTTCTCAATTTGTCGTAATTCCGAAGCTATTCCTTGGAGTGGAAGACTGATATGTGATCGATTGCTTTGTTAACGGCAGAGGAATTTTAATAAATGTATACTACTATTTGTATTTCCTATCGATCATGTAGGCTGCATAATTCACGGTTTGTATTCGTTCGGCTAATTGTTGTGTATTCCTTAAATTCGTGTTCGTTGTGGTCCTGTGGAGTTCATTATCTGAATAATAATTAAACTGAGGCTACTGTAGTTATAATGTATATAGTAATATTATTATGAAAGGTACCTTGTTTTCTAATTATTCTGACCTTGTTATGGAGCCTATCTACACTTTCATTAATTATTACCCATGTCAGCCTCATTTGAATTGGTGATTTTAAAACCAAGAAGTAAATAGACAGGCTTACGTTTGGATCCGATCTGCTGAACAATGATTTTTGTCCTGTTCAAGCTACTTGTGCTGGTGTCTTTTTTAAGTTCTACAGTTCTGGGGATGGTTAAGTAAGAAGAATTTTTTCTTTGTCCGTTCATTCAGCATATTGCAAGTTCTGTTGTGTATTGTTCTATCATGTAATGATTGCTTTTCCTTCATCGAATTCCAGATCCCTCACTAGGCCATATGCAGGCTTCGTTCTAGTTTGGGAGCCCTTAGAATTTTGCTTAGAGAAGATCTAAGATTTATGTGCACGTTGTATCTAACCAATTTTATGTGGGTATAAAATTTAGACAACCCAAGATCTCTGATTCATCACTACAGGCTATTGACAACTTTTTATGTTAAATTTTGATTATTTGTATTATATATATATATATATATATAATATATATTCAAATGTAGAAGCAGAGGTGATCTGATGACACCATCTTCATCTATTCCTAATGTTTTTTTCATCTTTCATAGTGTGCATTCTCATTATACTATAAGTATTATGTATCACCACCTCTGTAAATGTGAACTTCGTTGCTTTTGTTGCACTATGCAATAAGATGTCCCTGAAAAAGCATATTTCCATTCAGAAATATCTATATGTAGGCATACTCGAGTTGTTTGTTTTGCACATTCTAGTCTATGACTTGCAGTGGTTTGAAACTTTCAAGTTAATTGAATCGGAAAGATCTCCTGAGTTGCAACAAATGGATCCATTTGTGTGAATGGTTTTTGTTTTTTATTTTTTCTTTTATATCTATCTTATAATAGCTTATAATATGAAACAAATTGATGCGTATTTATTCGATGAAGATAAATGGGATGTATGAATAATGACAAATGGATCCATTGTGTGTGTGGTTTTTGTTTTTTATTTTTTCTTTTATATCTATCTTATAATAGCTTATAATATGAAACAAATTGATGCGTATTTATACGATGAAGATAAATGGGATGTATGAATAATGAATTCATTATCTTACTATTGTTAAATTTACCCGTTATGTAATTCACGTTGCACTTTGGAGCCATAAGTACCATGAGATGGTAAATTTGTGCAGTTTTTTTACTAATCGTTTTTGTTTTGTATTTCATTTGGAAGTCTTGAAGATGGCAAGGGCACTGAAAACTGGCTTCTGCATCCAATTGGAGAAAGCAATTTACAGCTGTTTGCTCTTGTTTCTTTGTGGGTCACTAGCAAAGTAAGTGATTGTATTTATTAATCGTGTAAGCGTGCACCTATCCTGCTTCTAAGTTTTTGATTTTACAGATACATGATACACCTCCCCTATCAGTGAAAAGCTTGAAATCGCTGTCGGATAAGAATATAAAGGAACAACATTACACAAACGGGGATCTGTTGGAAGCTGTAAGATATCACTTTCACTTATATTTCAAAGCCCTCATCTGTTTCCCACTTGAGCATGATTGTCAACATAAAATCTGCAGGAGATGGTCTTCATGCAGGTGCACATAAGACAAGCTACTCTTTGTTGTGCAATAGGATTGTCGTGTTCTCTTGTTTGTCTGATTAGTCAAGTTTGTCGAGAAGGTTCTGAAATTTGGGATTGGCACATCAAATATTGCTTTTGTATTGGTTGAAGAGCTTATCGCTCAATTGACGTAAGCAGCTTCTTTGAAAGAATTGTCATTTTTTTTAATTTGATATGAAGATATCTATCCTAAGCCGGTGCATTGCTCTGTATTTCTGTGGTATAACCTAGTGTTGTTGCTCGCGTTGGTGAACATGTGAAATTTGAAGCTTGTATGGAGGTTATGGATTTGCTTTATGAGTGTGAAGAGATGACATCACTTCTTCACAGCTCTCCCCAGGCTCTAGCTGCATCAATAGTGGTAATTTCTTAACTTTTGGTCAGCTTCATTCAAGCCTTCATTTTGTTTATTTCTATTTGTTTGTTTTCTAAATCAAGTCTTCACTCCTCAGGTTGTTGCTTATGTTATTACAGTACCATTGCAGATGTGGGAGTTTCCGGTCGTGCCTTGGGGTAAGGTTCTAATCAATTATTTATCAAGATACTTTGTTATGCTTTTTGTGGTTTGATGGAGTCTCTCAAGTCTATTTTTTTCGTCTTTATTAAGTGTTATTCTGATATATGTGAGTGATGGGATAGCTATAATTCCTGTTTCCTGATCATAAGGCAATGCCTATTTGTTGCTTAAAAAAAGCTAAAAAAGTTATCTAAGTTGTATTCCTACAAATTTTAACTTGTTCCATGGAAGAGCTTTGTAAAACATTATTAAATTAACAATTTTTTCACATCAATGCAAGTGGCATTCAGCTGATAGTTTTATGGTATAAAGTTATGTTGTAATATTTTAATTTATAATATCTCTAGATGGAGCTTAGGAGAAGAAAAAAAAAAGGAACTATTTGCAACCTTTTGCCATCTTGTGGATCATCTCCATTTTATTTCTGGGAGTCGTTTCTATTCTGGTGATAAATTGTCTTTTTGATTAATTTATACTAGTACGAATCTCGTGCGATGCACGGATAAGAATTATTCATTAATATTTATAAATTAGAAATGCTAATTAATCAATATTTATAAATTAAAAATATAGAATCAATATGTAATATAATTTACCTATATTAATTTATTGAAAATGCTTTATGGAATTTAAATTGTGAAAAAATTACATTAAACATGTCTATTTAAAATTAGCACACAATCGGTACAGTGCACGTAAATTCATTTTAAAATAAGTGTCATTTCTAAGATTTTTATTCAGAAATTCCATTTGAATACAATGTGACTCCATAAAATAATTATTTTAGTACAATTTTATCATATATTTAAAAATCTACATGAATAAAATATAATTATAAAACTTAAATTGTTTCATTAATTAAAATGAATTTATTTTTTAATAAACTATCCAATAAAAAATTTAAGTAGTTTAATATTTTATTAAACTATAATAATTGACTATTCTAATTACTTCCAAGTTGATATTGACCCGTAAGTTATGATTAATTACTTATTTAACTTTTAAATTTGCAACTCAAATTTAAACTACACAATAAATTCTCTTATATATTCATTCACACACACACATATTGTCTCGCAATGTTTTAGATTTTTTGTCGAATATCTTATCGTTCAAATTTATCAACTAATTTTCTAGAATTAAATTATAAAATTTAAATTTAACTAAACAATATTTGTTCAAATATCTTTTTGATTTTCAATAGTAATATATCGTGAAATTCGTGTCGTATCATACTTGCTGATCGTATAATTTATCGTTATAATTATATTTTTTAAGTGTTTTAGTGACTCCCATTATCACCATGAAATCGACTGCCTAAAATTTCATGTGAACATGCTAGTAACCAATTTTTAATTCACGGTGATTGGTGCTAAACTGCTAATTATTTACACACACAAGTAGTTTTTCTTAGTAAAGGGATAAATATGCAAAAATATTTCTTTTATTTAATTATATCGCTAGAGTCGCTGCAAGACTATAGCAATAATTCGAAAGACAATTGATACAACAGATATATATCTCGATATTTTAGGTACAAATATATGGTATATGCGATTTATTACCTTAATAAATCAGCTGCAATTACCTAAATTGTACCTTTAAAACATATCATAAAATGTTTAAATAGTTTCCAGATTTAGTAAACAACATTTTTTTGGCAGAAAAGTTACTATTTAAAAAATAATCAAACCTTTATATATATATATATATATAGATGTGCCGTTCCTTTTTTAATAAACTGGTACTAATAATATGCCCATATAACTACAAATTATATCTCCCAGAAATGTATTTAAATGAACCACATAGAACTTTCACTTTAAATTATGAAAACTTTTCTTGTACACTATTATTTGTTCTTATATGGTACCCGTGTATTACATGAGGTTTATATAAAATATTATTTGAATAAACAATATATAAATATGTATGCACACAAAGAGGTCACTTCAAATTATGGGACTTCTGTTGTATACTGTATTATTGGTTCTATTACTAATACCATGTCCAAACATATTTTTCAATCCCATGCCCTTAAGTCTTTCATATCATCAGATGTGCTTAATTCTTGGTATAATCGCATGCGTTTGAATTTTCATATCTTCATGTGAAGTTAATTATAGCTAAATGCATGTCTTAGTATAGAAATCAACATTGATTTTTCAGCCTGCTTTTTATCTCTAAGAAATGATTTTTTTAATAGTTGATGTTTTAATAATTACGTAAAATAGCTAAACGTAAAAATGTCAAAAATAAATATCTGTATATTTACCCAAGTAAACGTCTTTTCTTAAAGTTATTTTAATTCTTTGGCTACATCAAGTGGCTGTTAAACTTGGTGGAAATAAAAAATTAAGGCTGCTTCAAAATGGCAAGAACAATTTGGGTGACAAAAGATAGTATTACATGTCGTAACAAACAAAATAATATGGGTGCCTCAAGTTTGTTAGGCACATATGATGGTATGGAAACTTTGTGATAATAGATGTTAAAGTTATAGTTGTGAGTGACAACAATACACACACACACACGTGGTTTTTGCCTATCAAGAAAAGAAAAGATACAGTTCTCTTTAAATATTAGTTATTGGTTTTTGGAATAATTATTTTGTTGTGAATTTGCAAGTACTGAAAATAGTATAACTTCTTCACATATGCCCACCAATAGAAACTATAGTTCCAGATTTGAAATGGTTGATGTGATTAATCCTTTGTGGAGACAAGATTACATAGGATTAGCTGTTGCTTATGTTGATATTAATTTTTGTCTGATAATGATGTTGCAGTCATGTTTGTTAGCTCGTGCAAAGAAAAGGAGCTCCTGGACCGCATCAAAATCATTCTGAAGCATATATTCGAGCATTGAGCTGATTAGAGACAACGAACATGAACCATAGGTCCACCAATCAACTATTGTGGCAAAATCAGTTCTTTTGTCCTTTAAGTAGGCCTATTTGAAAATTTCATCCACTTTTCTTCTTGAACTCTGATTCGGACCTTTAAATGTGGAACAAATCGCCATGCAACAATCTAACACAGGTAGATGAAATAATGATATTGAATTGTTTCTTGAGAAAAATTGAAGATGGCACTTATCACATGGGTTTCAGTTAGTAATTTTTTACTGAGTTTGACCTCCATGGCGCAGGACATATCATGGATCGTTGTTTTTCTTTTCATTCGACATTGATGTATACTGGATATTAGTTGCCTGACGAGCTTTTAAGGCTGGAGACAGGTTCTCATTTCGAATTACTGCTATTTCAGACATGCGTTAAATGCATCCAACCATTCTTGATTGTTGCAAGTTGGCTAAGTTTACTTACTGAAAATCCTAAGTGGTTTTTATCACCCGACTTGTTTACTTTAGCTATTGGCTGCTAGTCTTTGATTCGTCTGTCATCCACCATCTCTTGTAGACTCCATGGGTAGTGGTCTTGACCTAACTCTGCTATGTTCTAAACTATACAGTATAATCCTGTTCAAGGTTATCCTAGTGATCATCAAGATAAATTATAAAATATTTGGTTTAACATAAATAAACTAAAAATGCTTGAATGCTGGAAAAATTCTGAAATTAAAGATCATAATGGAAAATAAAACAAGAAAACTAGAACCTGAAAGTGGGAGCATTAAACTGAAAGTAAATAGATAAAAAAAAATAAATAAAAAATAAATTTTGGGTTCCATTTGTTGAAATGAATAGTTCGATACAAATTTTTTCCTAACAATACCTTATTGTATCGCATTGCACGGAGTCTAAATGCCATTCAATTTCAACTAAAACAATTTTCTATTATAATTTCATACTCAGTGACTAAACAAAACTCGTGGTCATGAATCGTTCTTAGAGTTATGGAGT